ATTAACTTTAATTTTTAACGAATTTACAAATAAAATACAACTTTGTCCTAATTGGGTCAAGCCGGATAGAAAAATTCTCAGAATTTCGTGCTGAATCCAAGTTTCAAGTTAGTTTTGTCCTAGAACGCAAATATTTTAAACGAGCTATTTCACTTTCCCCCCAGTAATATCAGAAATCACAATTGGCCTGGAAATCACAGGGTGTGAAAATCACAGAAATCACATCCTGGGACAAATTGTGATTATCATAATTGAAACCCTGGAGGTTATTTAAATATTAGTACATTGCAGTCAAGTTTTAAGTTATCGCCTACTGAAATTCATATCAATTTGACTCGGGTTTTAAAATTTGACACATTTTAACGCCGTTTACAATACGAAAATATTTGTATTATTGCAAAATTGAAAATTAGATTATGTGCAATACATCTGACCAGTGAAATAATTTCAATTTTTTTATTTTGTCCTTAATTTGTGTTCGATTCAGTTTGAAATTTGTTTTGTGTCTTAAGCAAGCTATTTCATCAGTAATATCAGAAATCACAATTCGTAAAGAAATCAGAGGGTGTGAAAATTGCAGAAGTCACACCCTAACACAAATTATGATTTTTTTAAACAATTGAAACCTTGAGGTTATTTATTAGTCCGTTGCAGTCAATTTTTTAAGTTATCGCTTACTGAATTACTATCATTTTGATTCGGTTATTTTGGCGTCGTTTACAATGAAAAGTTTTTATTGCAAAACTTAAAATTACATGGTTAAGACATACGTCTAGCGAGTGAAATAATTTTAACTTTTTGAAATTAATTTGAATTCGTAAATTATCGCAACTGAAATTCATATCGGTTTGACTCTGTGCATAAAATTTGCCAGATTTTAATGCCGTTTACAATGAAAAGTGTGTTTTATTATCGAAATCAAAATTCAGATACTTCTTCTTTACTTCAGAACTTCTTTATTTTTGAGTGAAATCATTTTTTAAGTTTTCATGAATTTTTATTAGATTTAATTGTATATTCGGATAAAGCCAATGTGTAGATTATGAACGTTTCAAATCTTTGAAAGTTATAAAATGAGTAGAATGTAAAATGTCAGCATTATGAAAATATTTCAATGAAAAAACATGCATGGGAAAGATTGAAATTATTTTATTTTTAATTTTTACAAGAAATTGTTGCCATTTTTTAGTTTAAAATTTCTTCGGGATTTCATCCTGTTGAAATTTTCCATGTATTAAAATCCAATCCAATAATAAACTTTGGTGCTTTATTACTCTGTTTAATGTGGACGAAATGATGACGGTTTTCTGATTGATTTTTTTTTAATTTGGGGAATATTTTATCCAAGGTTAAAGTAGGATTGTGTAATTTGTGATAACGTGAAATAATAAAATGTAGCAAAATAACCATTTCCGGTCATCATTTTGGTAAATACTTTCACCTCAAAAATTCGAGGCTGAAGATTTTTTTAAGGAAATTGAGGCACCAAGTTTTATTTTAATTTTTTAAATAATTTGTTTACAAGTGGCGTAGTAATGTTTAAATAAGACGTAAAATTTTTAATTTTGTAAGTTTACACGGGTTTTGAAAATTTGTAAAAATTTTGAAAAATTTGCACTCTCTGATCCCCATAAGAAATCTGAAAATTATTTTACGTAAGTTTCAACGTATGAAAATCTAAATTGCGTCGTTAAACTATGACAAATTTTTTATCGTGAAAATAAAAATGTCACAATTTTAAAGTTTGACAAATTTCAGAAGTGCAATTTGTTGAAAATTTGTTGAAAAATCAAATACAAAATCTGTTCTTATAAATTTGTGGATTTAAATGATAAGAGAAAATTATTGAATTTGCTAATACTACTCACACAGTTGACTAACAAATGTCACCATAAAATGTATACCTACAAGATTTTCATTAAATTTCTACAAGACAAAAATAATTCAAACCCTGGAAGTTATTTATGAATATGTTGCAGACAATTTGTATTTTAAATTATTGACTCGGGATTTAAAATTTGTCAAATTTTGACGTCGTTTACAAAAAAAGTATTTGTTTCATTTCAAAAATAAAACTTCAGATAGCTGAACCGCAGACAAAAGTGGACAAGTAAAACCTAATGTAGCTTAAAGCGAAATCATTTCCGATCATCATTTACTTTCACCTCAAAAATTCAAGGTTGCTGATTTTTTTTAGGAAATTGAGACATTTTTAGTATTCATTTTTCTTTTATTAACTTTTATTTTTACCAAATTGACAAATCAAATACAAAATGCAACTCTGCCCTAATCCGGGCAAGTCGGATAGAAAAGTTTTCAGAATTTCGTGCTGAATCCAAATATCTAGTTAGTTTTATCCTAGAATGTAAATATTTTAAACGGGTTATTTCACTTTTCCCTTAGTAGTATCACATACAAAATTGGCCTGCAAATTACAGGGTGTGAAAATCACAGAAATCACATCCTGGGACAAATTGTGATTATCATAATTGAAACCCTGGAGGTTATTTAAATATTAGTACGTTGCAGTCAATTTTAAAATCGGGTTGTAAAATTTGACACATTTTATCGTCGCTTACAATACAGAAGTATTTGTATTATTGCAAAATTGAATGTTAGATTATGTACAATGTACCCAACGACTAACGAATAAAATAATTTCAATCTGTTTTTAATCTGTTGTATTCGATTCAGCCTGAAATTTGTTTTGTGTTTTAAACAAGCCATTTCACTTTCTCTCTAGTAATATCAGAAATCACAATTGCCAAAAAAAATCAGAAGGTGTGAAAATTTCAGCTGGCAAAAAATTTTGATTATCACAATTAATACCCTTGAAGTTTTTATTATTTAGTACCTGGCAGTCAATTTGTAAATTATCGCTTACTGAAATTCATAGCATTTTGACCCAATTATTTTGGCGTAGTTTGCAATAAAAAAAGTATTTATTTTATTGCAAACTTAAAATTAGATCGTTAGGATATACGTCTATTGAGTGAAATAATTTTAACTTTTTTGAAATTTTTACTAATTTGAGTTTTTAAAATATCGCAAACTGAAATTCATATCATTTTGACTCTGTGTATAAAATTTTTCAGATTTTAATGCCGTTTACAATAAAAAGTGTTTGTTTTATTTATTAAAACCAAAATTCAGATATAATAATTCATTATTTTTGAGTGAAATCATTTTTTTGAAGTTTTCATGAATTTTTATTAGATTGGTTTGAAATTTGGTGTAGTGTATTTCACACCCTGTAAGAAATTACAGGTGACAGGGTGTAAAAATCAGAGAAATTAATTTGGGACATGTGGCAAATTTTTTTATTTTTTTCCTTAATCCAAATTCACTATTTTTACAATATGCACGAGAGAGTGAAATGTTATTTTCTTCGAGTAAGAAATATGTTTTACGAAAAAACGGCTCTACAACTATCTGAATTTTGTTTACGTGATTTAGAATAATTAAAAATTGTAAAGTGACGTCAATTCGACATTTGTCCCGTTCTATACTCGAGAAATTTTATAAATTAGCTCAATGTTGATATTTTTGTTGTATGTTCCGCATGTATGTACAGAGAAGACACCTAAATTTAACAAAGGAAAGTTTAATTTATGAATAAATTGCAAAGTAGCGTCGATCGGAGACATATTAGTAAATATTTTGCAAAATTCATCAATTTTTAAAATCTGCACGAGAGGGGTAAAATGTTTTTTAGTAAGTATTTTTTTTCTTAATGAAAATTCATACAGGTCTACAATCATCTGAATTTTGTTTTAATATTCGTTTTTTGACGTGATTTCAAATTATTAATAAAAATAAGGTTACGTCAATTTGAGAGTTGAGCTCCATATGAAGTTTTAACCAGGTTTTATATTTTTGTAAATTTCGAAATATTTTTTAAATGAAACTATTTTCCCATTTTTGTTAAAAATCTGCCATAATTTTTATTTTTTTCAAATTGTATCCTCGAAAGAATAGGAAATTATTTTTGTGGAAAAGCACACAATTAAAAAAATAGCTTCAAATTATGAGGAATTTTAGAAATTTATTTTTACATTATTAGGAAAAAATTATATAAAAATGAGGTGAATTTGAGACCTGAAATTTTTCCAATTTTTCTCACAAAATTTCTACAAATGTACAAGATTCAAAATTTAATAACCTTTGTTTAACATTTTTAAATTACGGATTATGATAAACTTGTAAAGCGACGTAAATTTGAAACATTTAACAACAGAAACGCTTTTGTTAAAAATTCACGAAAGTTTTACTAAAATTCTGAAATTTTACCGAAATTTTGAAATTTTACTGAAATTCTGAAGTTTTACTGAAATTCATATCCTTCGACACTGAGCTTAAAATTTGCACATTTTGACGCCGTTCACAATACAAATGTATTTGTTTTATGGCAAAACTGAAAATTAGATAATAGGGGAATTGCGACCTTACGTTTACGGGCAAAAATCAGACCGTAAACGTTAAATTCAAACTCCCTGTTGGATTCACACACTGTCTTCTACCCGAAAACCAGGAAATCCGATGAAAAGGGCCTTGGTTGTGAATTAAGATGAATAGTTTTAGGCAAATGAGTCCTTGTAGTCGCCGTGAAGTCGAAATAAACTTTAATGTCAAAATATTTCCTTCTGGCAGGACCCTACTTTATTTAACTAACTCAAAATGCGATTAAAAACTTTAACAAAAACAATGACAATTTAATTACTAAGAAGAGCCTAAAATCGTAACGTGTTGCTACTTCAAAGTCTTGGTAAAGAGTAAAAAATAAAACGTTGGCTGAGCACGTAGGCAAAAAATCAGACAAAGAAACTGTGCCAGCGCCAACAGCAAAAGAAAGTGGGAATACAAATCTCACAATGCCCCACTTTTCACATAATTAACATAATTATTAAAATTATCAAAAAACTACTAAATTAATATCTTCCGAAATCCAACATTCTCCCACCTCTTTTTGGAGTAAAAATGACAAAAAGAAAACTAAACGATTACTTATATTCCCTATAACGGTGAGGTTTCCTAATTTTGCGTCCAAATGAGGAAGCGACGCCATCCTTTTCTTCCTCAGAAGCGTAGTCTTCTTTCTCAATGATATTATGATCTCTCGCCTCTTGAATTACTTCTTTCATTTTAGGTGTGATCTCTGGTAAGTCTTCTTTCTTGTTAACTTCAAGAGGGTAAAGGCGTTGCAGGGGACGGGTGAGTATTCCTCCGGCTGTTCGGATCTTGGCTACTCTGATTTCTCCATCTTTTCCAGGAATTAGCTCGATAATCCTCCCCATCGGCCACATGATACGTTTGACATTGTCAGCTCCGATTAAAACAATGTCGTCAACTTTGGGTGGTTCTGTCATCTTCCTCTTGACCCGCATAACCAATTGTGAGAGGTACTCCTTCCTGAAGCGGTCATTAAATTGTTTCTTCAGGGCCGACATCATCTTCATTCGCTCGCGCAAATTCTGGTCTTTGATGTCGAATCTATCGCCCTCCGGAAATCCTCCCATCGGAAGTCCTCTTCTAAACATGTCCGGTGTCAACGGGGTAAGATCTTGCAAATCTTCACTCACGGCGGTGAGTGGTCGTCCATTAATTGTGTGGGCTGCGGCTGCTAAACATGTTCGCATCTCATCGTAAGTCAGTTTTGCATTACCCAGCATTCTTCGCAATAAATTCTTGGTAGTCCGTACGAGGCGCGTTTTTTAACAAAAACAATGACAATTTAATTACTAAGAAGAGCCTAAAATCGTAACGTGTTGCTACTTCAAAGTCTTGGTAAAGAGTAAAAAATAAAACGTTGGCTGAGCACGTAGGCAAAAAATCAGACAAAGAAACTGTGCCAGCGCCAACAGCAAAAGAAAGTGGGAATACAAATCTCACAATGCCCCACTTTTCACATAATTAACATAATTATTAAAATTATCAAAAAACTACTAAATTAATATCTTCCGAAATCCAACACTCCCGCTGGAAGTCGGCGGCGCAGGAACGAGTTTACGTTTACGGTCTCATAACGGGCGGTTAAATTGAACGTTAAATCGAGTGATTCAGCGTGAGCTTTACCGCCCGTATCATCTCACCACACAGAGTTAAATATTATCTTTTTACGAATAAATCGGTCAAATGTTTGAAATTTTGACTGACAAACCTGTAAATTGTTAACTTACTTACTACCCAATGTCTGGTAGAGGTGGAATAAGTCAAGAAACTGGTAAAAGTTGAGTTTTGTTAAATCAGTAATTTCTTCTATTGAAGTAAATCATACGTATGTATGAATTAATTTTCTAACTACATTTTTTTACACTTTAATGATTTTTCCACTAACTTTGATAATACGTACTCCTTTCTTTTCAACATTCAGAAATTAACTTATTTAGCTGTCTGGAATAGTTATGAATTATTTGTGATTAATTTCAAACGGCATTTTTTATATGTAGAGATTAAGATGGAAATGGGGTACATGAAGCTCGAAATGAACCAATTAAAACTTCAAAAATTGGAACTAAAGAAGCAAATTAGCAATGATTTAATAATTTCATAAATAATACATATGAATTATTTTACGCATATGAAATACTTAGGTACAAATTATACTTTAAATGTAAACAAATTGAAAATACATTTCCTAAAACTTGTGTGCTATATTTAAAATATAAATTAAACATGTAAATAAACTTCTAGAGTTGGCGAATTGACAACTGTAAATTTTACAGAATTCATCCTATGCATTTAGTTTGAAGGTTAGTATTCTTGGAATCGTCGATGGAGTTTCATTAAGAATTGTTCTCCGCCTCAGCATTTTTCGGTCTACAAAATAACTAGAAAGATCTTTTGAAGTGATATCTCTCATTATCCGTCCTACTCTGAAAGTCAACAGGTTTTATGAAGTTTAAGACAAAAATGTTGATAAATGCTACATTATAATTCATATGAATGTAAAATGTAAAAGGACTGAATTATGTATTATTTATTTAAATTGAAAAACAATTAAACTATACTAAAAATGCTGTTTTTACCTGGTTCTTGAGAATTTCTATTGTATTTTGAGTTTATTCCATTTTCATTTCCATCTAGTCAATTTTTTATTAAATTCGCAGATGTCAACAATATAAATATTCATTTAAGAGAAGTCTCAAATTTGAATTTCCAGCTACCGCAAAGTCGTCCGTAAAGTTGCCCGTAAAGTCGCAACCAAAATTTTACGCACCACCTAAACGCTAACGCTAACGCTAAAAATTAGCGTTTACGTTAGCGTTTACGGCGAGACCGTAAGGTCGCAATTCCCCTAATACAAGGGATGAAACGGACGGAGGCGCAAAATTGTCCTGAATTGTTAAATTATCGCCAACTGAAATTCATATCATTTTGACTCTGTGCATAAAATTTGCCAGATTTTAATGCCGTTTACAATGAAACGTGTGTGTTTTATTATTAAAATCAAAATTCAGATACTTCTTTATTTAAGAACTTCTTTATTTTTGAGTGAAATCATTCTTTTAAGTTTTCATGAATTTTTATTATATTTAGTTTGAAATTTGGTTTTGTGTTTTAAACAAGTTGTTTCACTTTCCCACAGTAATATCAGAAATCACAGGAATCATAAGCGGCAAAGAAATTACAGGGTGTAAAAATCAGAAATTAATTTGGGACATGTGGTAAAATTTTATTATTATTCTTTAATCCAAATTCACTAATTTTTACAATATGCACGAGTTCTGAAATGTTATTTTCTCCGAGTAAGAAATATATTTTTACGAAAAAAACGGCTCTGCAACTATCTGAATTTTGTTTGTTTGTTGATTTTGAATTATTAAAAATTGTAAACTGACGTCAATTTGAAATTTGTCCCGTTCTATACTCAAATTTAAGGTCGAACATTTCTAAAAAAACATCTTTAAAAATTTCGTGAATTTATGAACGTACAAATGTATGTGAGAAATTTTATAAATTAGCTCAACGCGGGTATTTTTGTTTTATGTTCCGCATCACAAAGAGAACACCTAAATTTAACAAAGTATTGTTCAATTTATGAAGCAATTCCAAAGTGGCGTCGATCGGAGACATGTTGGTAAATATTTTGCAAAATTCATCAATTTTTAAAATCTGCACGAAAGTGTAAAATGTTTTTTTAGTAAGAATTTTTTTCTTAAGGAGGGGTAAGAGCAAGGTTTAGATTTTAATAATATTAAAAATTTTCACTAGTCACTTGGCGTTCAACTCATACAATTTTCATTTTATTTCAAAATTAATTTTTCGAACCTGTAAATGGAATTTATTATCAAGTGAGGTATCGTTGGAAAGGTCTCGACGAGAGGATTCCAAATATATATACTTTATTGGGTGTATGACCACTCCCTCATGTTCCAGAGACCGGAGAAAATTTCTGAGTTTGTGCCCATCTACTGCATGTTAGCTCTCAATCTACTTGCTGTGTTAAATTGTGGAGAATTGAAGATTTTCATTCTTCTGTTCTGGAACATAAGGGAGTGGTCATACACCCAACAAAGTATATATATTTGGAATCCACTCACCGAGACCTTTCCAATGATATCTCATTTGTGGGGATCGGTGACCTTTGACCTACCAACCTTTCGACGCCGAAACAAGGTCACGCAGGTCGATTTCGACTATAAGTGCTATTTGACTATTGTACTACTACTAAAGACCTACAACATATCAAAAATTGGGGACACTGGAACTGACGGACATGTTTATGTCGTAATTTCTAAAAATCAAGTTTTCAAAACATTTGAGCACCTATATTTTTGCATTAATATCGGATTTTTTTGTTGCAAAATGTGTCAAAATATTCAACTCCCAAAGTTACTGGAGTTTGACCTTAAAATCGCTTTCATGGTCACACCATAAATCTTTTCACGAGAAAAAATCAGAAAAAGTTGCATATTTAAATGTATACTCTACGTATCCGTCAAAACGTCTGTAACTTCGTGGAGACTAAATATATGCATCGATTGATGCAAAAAAATCGAAATTTTATGGTCATTTGACGACGCCCAAAGTTTTTAAAACTATAACATGGGAGCTTATGGGAGGGCATAGTTACATACTCCCCGTCAGGTAGCGGGGGGAGTGTATCAGATCACCCCTTAATGAAAATTCATACAGGTCTACAATCATCTGAATTTTGTGTTAATATTCGCGTTTTGACCTGATTTCAAATTATTAAAAAAATAAAGTTACTTCAATTCGAGAGTTGAGTTTCATATGAAGTTTTAACCAGTTTTTATATATTTGCAACTTTATATATTTTTCGTATTTTTATATTTTTGTTTTTTTGTATTGTTTAGGTTTTTGCATTTTTTGAATTTTGTACTTTTGTATTTTTACATATTTTCACGTTTTTACATCTTCTACGTTTTTGAATTTTTACTTTTTGAAAAATATTGAAATTTTGAAGTTTTACTAAAATTCATAACTTTTGACCCAGAGTTTAAAATTTGACACATATTTTTACGCCGTTTGCAATATGAAAATATTTGTTTTATTGCAAAACTGAAAATTAGATGTTACACGAGATGAATAATTGTCTTATCCCTTTTTTAATGCATTCAAATTTAAAACCAAACGTTTCAAAAAATCTTTACAAACTTCATGAATATCCATTTGTTTCTTACACATGGAACTTATTCTATGAATCATCTTCTCTCGGCGAGGAATTTTTTGACGATATTACGAAAAAAAATTCAAAGTGACGGCAGTTCGAAATATTTTTTAAATAAAACTATTTTCCCATTTTTGTTAAAAATCTGCCATAATTTTTTTTCAAATTGTATCCTTGAAAGAATAGGAAATTATTTTTGTGGAAAAGCACACAATTAAAAAAATAGCTTCAAATTATGAGGAATTTTAGTAATTTATTTTTACATTATTAGGAAAAAATTATATAAAAATGAGGTGAATTTGAGGCCAGAAATTTTTCCTATTTTTCTCCCAAAATTTCTACAAATGTACAAGATTCAAAATTTAATAACCTTTGTTTAACGTTTATAAATTACGGATTATGAAAAACTTGTAAAGCGACGTAAATTTGAAACATTTAACAACAGAAACATTTTTATTAAAAATTCATGAAATATCTAAAAGTTTAAAATATTTCCGAACTTTGTACATACACGAAAGAAATGTTATAACCCTCATTTCCCAATATTCAAATTTATTAAATTATAGTACATAAATTACGGTTAGAAATATTTTTGACTGACCAAAACGATGGCGCTAGTATCTAATTTCACTTCTTTAAATTAAACTAATTTCACTAAACTATCAATTTCGACCTTAACCTCTTGCAACTTGAGTGAACAAAAAATTTTTTTTGATGTTGCTACCTAATAAAATTTTGAAACGCGTTTTACATAATTTGATAACTAATGCAGTAAGCCAGAGTTGAGTTGGTTTGACACTTTTTCTAATCTATTCGAACCGAATCCGAATATTTCGGTTGAAAAAACAACTTTGTTACCACTTTTTGTTACCAAATTACGAAACCCTATCCATTTTTTGAAGTGGTGCAGGAGCTCCTTCTCAACGTTGAGTAAACCTTTTGCGGTAAAACCAGCCACAGTGCAAATAATGCAATAGTGAGAGAGAGATGGATTGGCGAAATTGCGAATTGAATGGATTCGACAAACAGAGACAATATCGGTTTCAATTCTTCGACCTTTTGCACACTTTACGATGTGTTGGTAGATGCCTTGCTTTCTTCTTGGACCTCAATAAGCGGCGGCGGCGAATGAATGAATGATTAATTCAGGGACATGAAGTTGCTCTTTGGAGACTGTAAATTGCTCCCAGGCCACCATTTTTTTCCAGTTTGGGGAAACCTTAAGTAAGTAAAGAGAGGGTTTTTGCCATATTTTTCGTACCACTAATGGACCACCGGGCAGTGTGGTTAGATAAGTAGTTTATCACTTATTTAATTTAATCCGCCATATTTTAAGGGTGTCAAAATATTTTGCCAGAATACAATGATGCAATTCACCTACTAAAAAAGTTTTTTTAAGCTTTTTTAATACCTTTGTAAAATTCTCAAATTCTGTACATTTACAAACTTGCAATTATTTTTAAATTAATGACTAAAGTTGTGTACAAATTTTTGTAGACACGTTAGATGAAGGATGTCTTTTGTAAAAATTTGCAAGCTACAAATTTACAATTTTACAAATGACTACGTTAATTGGCTTATCATTTCGGAAACTCGAATTATTATGTCATAATAATCTAATTTTCTAATTAAATTTATTAAAAATTTTGTGAATGGAATCAAAACTCCCATATTTTTCATACCGCTAATGGACAACGGGCAATGTGGGTGGATAGTTTATCACTTATTTAATTTAATCGGTCATATTTTAGGGTGCGAAAAATATTTTGCCAAAATATGTTGAAACAATTCGCCTAAATTTGTAAAATTTGTAAATTCTGTACATTTACAAACTTTTACAAATATTTTTAGCCAAAAGTTGCATATTATTTTTTGTAAACTTGGTCAGATCAAGGGCCTTTTTTGTAAAAGTTTGTAAATTACAGAAATTAAATTTACAATGTTACAAAGTACTACGTCAATTGCCCTATCATTTCATACAAATATAAATTATTAGAATCTACAGATTTTCGTTGTTAATTAAATTTATCTAAAATGTTGTAAATGGAGTCAAAGTATGACAAAAAGTATAAATTTTAAAGTAAAATTATAAATACAAATAAAATTTATGTTTTTCTTGGCAAATTTTCTTTTTAAATATTTTTCGAATGACAAGTTACGTTCAGAAGTCGGTGATTTTGACAAATTTTACTTTTTACAAATAAGTTAGATTCGACAACAATTATTTAATTTCTTTAAACTTAAATTCCTAATGATCACACCAAATTTCTAGAAAAAAAACAATTTTATATACATCCTTAGAAATTTATTTTTTTTAATACATATTCACAAGGAAGCAATTCACGCAGGCTTAGGTAGCATTGCAAAAACTTACAAAATTTTACAAAATTCATCAAATATTTCCGAGGAAAATTTGGTTACTATTTTTTGTAAACGTACTGTTCCATTTGTTATTCAAGTTTGTCAGTTTACAAAAAGTACGGATTGTATAATGTCACCAAGGCCTGCTTGACTTGACGTGTTATTTTATGACGTTATCTTATGATTTACTCTGCGGAGTCCGCAGACTGAATCCTAAGAAAAATATTGTTGAAATAAATAAAAACTGAAATTTTCTTTATTACCAAAATTTTAAGAAAGACGATGCAAGTGGAGAAAGAAAGCTTCTTTATTTACATATGTATTTGTACATTTACGAGGATAACAGCTAATAATGGGCGTGTCCACGTCAAATTTCGCAAAAATAAATTGGAAAACTTAAGTTTGCAAATTTTGTCAAATTTCGAAAACAAAACTTTTAACTATGAAAAAATTGATGAGAATTATGGTTCCAAATTCGCCCAGCAAATTATTTGTGGCATATTTTTATCTGCAAAATTATTAAACTATTTATTTCCTAAATGAGTCTAGTTGTCGGGATCGCTGTTTTTTTCGCAAAAATTATTTGCTAAACGAGTCACGTCGTAAACAGTACGCTTAACAATAAATATGTGAGAAGTAATACTTTTGCATGGAAATGATGTATACATATTTAAATAACACATGCATGGTACAATGAAAGCTCAATATTTTACACAATTATTACACGTAGGAAAAGCTGACTACAAAGGAGTCGAACATTGAAAACCCTAACCTTAAAGAAAAAAAATAGTAAAATAATCTAAAAAAAAATAACATAATATGTAAATCATAATAAATCAATTTAAAGCAAAATTTGGCTAGAATCCGCAACAACAGACGGTTTCAATCCTGGCCTTTGTGCACGGTCGATATCCATACGAACAGTTTTCAGGACATTCGTAAAATTCTGCGTAATTTAATTTATAATTAATTAGTTAATTAATATTTAACTATAATGATGCAATTCACGCAGACCTTGATAACATTGTAAAATCCGTAAATTTCATAACCTTACAAACTTTACAAAAATTTGCAACTATTTCGCAGGAAAATTAGCTCCCAAAATTTCTGTAAGCTTGTTCTCTTTATTTTGTAAAAGTTTGTAAAATTATTTTTCAAACTGCATGGATTTTACAAAGTTACCAAGGACTGCGTTAATTGGATCTAATGTGCTTAAACTTTGACCTCACCTGCACCGCATGGGGAGCTAAAACACCATGATTGTTCCGGTCTCCGGTTTCCTCGTCCTGGGAAAGCAAAAAACTGGTCACGATTAGCCATTCTTCTCGATAAAGATGTACAAAATCTCAATACGCCCCTGACTTGATCTCCTCCAATACTTTTTAATTCACTCGGGTATTTTTGCAATAAAATTAGCACCATATTTATTACAAGCTTCACAAACGTAAGAGTTAAATATAATAATAAGGTATTTCACGCAATAACTTATAAAATCAGTAATTTTGGTAAAATAATTTTAAAACTTCACAAAATAAGAAGATGCCCTTGATCAAAGCAAGATTACGAAAATTTGAAAGCTAAATAATTTTCCTCAGAAATATTTGTAAAATTTTGTAAAAGTTTACGGATGTCACCAAGAATTGCGTGAATTGCCTCGATATTTCTCGAAAGGATTTATTTTCGTAGGAATTGTTTGCTGAAAATATTGTATATTTTTTTAGTTGGGGTAAATGAGAAAGTGAAAGACGATCATTTGAAAGTATTTTATGCAATTTAAATATTAAAATCGGATTCGAAGTTTTCTGTTTATAACTTAGTGTTTTTTTTGTAGAAATGTTGAGTTTCTAAGAAATTTATTAATTGCTTGAAACATTTTTTTCTTCATCAATAATTTCAATTATGTACGGATGTTTTTGTGATTGATTAACGACCGAAATTTTTTTTGGGAGATATTAGTTCATGTTTTTAAATGTAGATGCGTTGTCGCAGTCGACAGTTTTCTTAATTTAATGTAAAGTTCGTTTCTGGTACTACAAAACCCTAGATTAGAAAACATACCTAACCCATTTCTTAAAAATAAGTTTATTAAAGATAATTTTTTTCAAATCCATAGTTTTTGTAGCAATAAAAATTAACTTTACGTTAAAATATGAAAAGTTGCATTTATCGCAAAACTAATGAAATTAAAGCTATTTTAGAAATTTCCATTTAAAAAGATTAAATAGTGGTAGAGTGAGATTAAAAAAAATCTATTCCACATCAAATCATCATCCAATGTAACCTTAACCTGGTTTTTCTTGGTAATAAACTTTGTCCGAAACTTTTGCTAAATTTTTTTTACTTCTTTACCAATTACAAATATCCGAGTGAATTTCGAGTCATCTAAACGAGTAGGAGGAGAATGAGACGGCTCTTTATTCCCATAACAATAATATAATCTCAAAGGTAATACATTCCGTCTCATTTTGCCCCCTCCCCCTCAAAAAATGTAACAATTACTACATAATTCTCGGCTTACTTATACTATTCGAGTTCCTTGGCGTCGTCGTCGGCGATGGTGTGGTCGTCGTCGTCGTCGCCGGCGTTGGCACCGGGGTGGCGTCAACGGAAGGAAGAAAATTGCAAAATTCTGCAGGCCCCATCATCACGACGAAACAGACCAAGACGACAATCACGAAAGACGACGTTCCAGTCACGACTCCTCCTCTTTTCATTCCAGATCCGGAAACGATGATTGAAAAAAACAGGAAGAAAATCCGCCACACTTTTTTGCGAACTGATGCCACGACAAGTTGTAAACTGCGAGTGGACAAAGTGGACAATTTTTTCCAGTTAGTGAGAGTTTAATATGGTTTAATCGAGCTCGTATTCGTATCCCAGTCATGATGTAAATAATTTAATTCATGATTTATACGTTATAACGCAGAGATGTATGCAGTTAGTTGGTTGTTTATTAGTTTGACGTATGTATGGCTTGTGTAAGCGTGTTGTGTTGTGTCTGTCTCTCCGTCTGAATTATGCATGTTGAAACTGGCGATGAAATAAACTTTGCCAAAAATCTGCAATGTGGACAAACTCACCTACCTAAAATTCAACCCATAACGTGCTGATTTGTTCTAATTTTATTTATTGGAGTAGAAATTTGTCAACTTTTCTTGTAAACTTTTCAATTTTTTGTATCTAATTTACTTAAAATTTTTGTAACCCCTGTGAAGATTCTGAAGGAAAATCAGATTACAAATTTTCGATTGAATTTTTATGTATGCAATTTTTTTTACGTTTTTTACCCTTTACTAACGCTTAAGAATTGTGATTCGGTGCATATATTGTTATAATTTTTATGGAAAAAAAGCCATATTTTACAATTTCCTCCGATGTTTGTAACCACGTAAGATTTCATAATTTTAGACATTTCATAATTCCATTGAACAGGAATATTTGGCAAATTATAACAATTTGTTTAGTCGTGTGTAATTTTTATTTGATCTGCTATAGGTCCACGGCATTTAAAAAAAAATGGAAATAATAAAGATATTTTGTAATTTAACAGATATGATAATTTGGCCTTGAATTGAATCATATTGAATTTAAGTAATTAAATTCTTAATTTCTCAATTTCTTAATTACAATTCTTGTCAGAAAACTCTTTTTCAGAGAGGCGTAAATGTGGTCCGTTACTAGTCAGACCCAGGGCTTACATGGCTGTCTGTCCGTCCGTCCGTCCGTCTGTTCTGAATGTATTGCGCTAATTCTCTTTGAGCAATGGAAATTAAAAAATTAGGTACATTTTTAAAGCGTGTTTCTTATACCAAAAATAGCTTTATTTTAAATCACAGACCATGTATATTTGAAATTAGGTAGTTTTAATACGTAAGTAAATCGTGAAATTTATACACATAAAAATTACTGTTACTTGTCTAAAATATTGGTCTTCATAATAATTTCGTTTAAAAAAACAGAAACTTCTGACTCGGGCTATGTCAGGTTAATTAATAATTTCTACTGGACGAAAGACGCATGATATGATGACACACCATACCACGAATATTGACGATGATGATTAATACATCTTGTCAACTAAATAAGTTTGTTGACTATGGCAATTCAAAGTGGAAAAATCTGGTTGTAATTTTACAATATATGATAAAATGCGATGTGCTGTGTGAAAGAAGAAAAAAAGCGCAACGATTTTACACTTTTTTTAAAGTAAATGATTTTATTTTCATCCAATTTTTTAACGCTAACATCAATTTCATTCGAAAATGATGATCTTAATAAGATCTAAATTTGGATCACACGCTTAATTTGAATGAATTAAAAATGCATACCAGTTTCTGTGCTGGAAAATTATGCTCAAATGAGATCAAGGGTAATATGTAATTTGTTCCTTTTTGCGGTCAAGGTAGCCCAAAGTAATGTCACGTCGAGTACTCGTAAGGCAAGCATCTTGCAGATATGATGGGGCCTGATTTTCAGTGAGGCATATTCACGCAGTACTTGGTAACTTTGTAAAATCCGAGCGTTTTGTTGTTTGTGCATAATTTTACAAACTTTTACAAACTAAAGAGACGCCCTTGATCTGAATAAGTCTATAAAAATTTGGGAGCTAATTTTCCTTCGAAATATGAGTGAAATTTTGTAAAAATTGGTAAGTTTAAATATTTACGGATTTTACAATCTTACGAAAAACAGCGTGAATTGCCTCAATATTTAACTCTATGGTAAATTTAGTTAAAAATGCATGACCCCTAAAATCCAATGTCACTCACATCCTTTTTGCACGGTTCGCAAAATGTGTGTATGATGCAGGAAGTGAATTTCCGTCTGAGAAAAAAATAAATCGTACCAATCTCATCATCAAAATATTTTGATCGTATTAAGAAAGTAATAAATATTATGTCACTCTTGGAATTCACCAGTTATTATTACGTCAAATATTACGTGACGTTGACCACATTTGCATACATACATATCTACATATGTGCACAGTAAGGCAATTCACGCAGGCCTTGGTAAACTTGTAAAATCCGTAAATTTTGTAAAATAAGTTTACAAAATATAAAGTGAAGAAGCCCTTGATCTGAGCAAGTTTACAAAAATTTGTACGCCAATTATCCTCAGAAATATTTGCAAAATTTTGTAAAAGTTTGTTAATTTACAGAATTTTACAAAGTTTTAAAAATATTTCTAAAGAAAATTAGCTTGCGAAAAAACATCTTAATTTTATCTGTAATTATACTTTTTGACATACTTTGACTCCATTTACAAAATTTTGGATAAATTTCATTGAATAATGATTTGTAGATTCTTACCTGCCAAATGATGAGACAATTCACCCAGGATTTCGTAACATTGTAAAATCCGTAAATTCTGGGTATTTTCTTACATGAAAAGAATTGATAGAATTAATACGCAGTATATGTGTATATCTGTTCGGTTGTAGGTCGAATTGCATAATTTATTAGGGATAATGCAATATGGTATAATTTTTTTTGGCATAAAACAAATTGGTATAATGGTACATAAGGGATAATTAAAAAAAGGGATAATTATACGAAATCAAAATTAAATTTTAAATTAAATTTTAAACAGTCATATAGTTATGAAGGCACTTTCCAATACCCTTGAGATAGTCGAAAGTGTCAAGATCAGTGTTGTACGATTCTACAATCAAGAGGAGTCGCTTATCCAGGTCCCTGTGAATTTTACGCTGTGGCTCGACTTGTCCAAATTTCAAGTTTAGATTTCCAAATTCCAATGGCTTTATTCATTTTGTAAAATTTCAATGGCTTTCCACATAGATTTTATGCGTAAATGCCAACCCTCCATGGCATTGTGCGTGCAAATATAGTACTCTGTGTCATTCTTGCAGTTGTTTTTGGTACAAGTAGCGTTTTCAGTGGACGTTGTTGTGAATGTGGGTGTGGAGTGCAATTCGAGTGATTGTAGAATGCAAGGAAAGAAGGAATGGAATTAATTTTGGTCCCTTTAAAGCTTAAAATATAATTATCGCTAATAGAATTATCCCTGAGTTTCATTATACCAAATGGTTAAATTATACCAACAATATTATACCAAATCAAATTATACCAAATTGTCGTTATACCAAAAAAACAACCTACTCCAAGCAACTTTGCGGGGCCTTTTAAGATGGCATTAAAACCATCTTGGTAGTTAATGACAACACATTTGGGTGGAAAAGACCCCCACCGGCTAACCACTTGACCGATCATGCCCATCTCCGAACTCATCCTTACTTTTGACCCGAAGATAAAGTGTGAAAAATTTCAAGTCGATAGCTTGTGTTTAAAGAGAGTTATCGTGCGCACAGACAGACATCTTGTTAAATCTATAAGGCCATCTTAAAAGGCCTAAAATTATGCAATTCGACCGCACACCATCTGTTCGTATTCACTCATTCATGAGCTACTAGATGAACAATATTTTTTTTAAAATAAATGCATAATGAATATTTGTTTCAATTTTGAAAATAAATGAATTTTTCATGAATAAAAATATTTTTTTGAACTTGTGCCTTTATTTTACAGAGCATCAAATAAATAAAATAAATAATTATATAAATGTAAAGAAGACTCAAGATTTAGATAAGATTTTAATACTATTTTTCCCCTTCAATTTTTCAGTTCAAGTCAATAGACCAAATATCATCTATTGGCACCCCCTCCAAAATTCCTCCAAAAGCGTAAATTCTGTTCATCTTCTTTACGTAAACGGCGTCAGTAAATCCCATCTGCTGACCTTCTTCCCCCTCAAAATAAAAAATCCATAAACGCAGCTCCCATCTTCAAGTTATAATACGAATTCTGAGCGACGACGACAATTTCATCCGTGGAAATGGAATACCTCGAAATAACGGCCACACTGGCGTTGAAATAGCCGTCGAACCCGTCCATGAGGTAAATATAGTCGTCCCCGTCGTATATCGGGTTCAGCAAGTATTTCAGAGCGGGTAGTTTCGCCGAGGACTTTATCGCTCGTAGATTTGGTTTCGGCGTGGTACACGTGTCGAGCGGTTGGATGACCACGAGGGAAAAGGTAAGGATGAGGAGATGTGATCGCAAGCCATTATCCTGTTTCTATAAAAAAAAAGTATGAATTAATTTCGACTAGTTATTAATAAACTCCATTTCAGATTTAGTGAGATTAGCCGAATGAGCCGAATTATTTTATTATTTATCACCACTTATTTTTATTTCGGCGTTTACATTATTCAATTTCGTATGATTTGTACGCCAAAATGAAAATAAGTGGTGTGAAATAATTCGGCTCATTCGGTGATGAACTCACCAAAGGTGAAACGGAGTTTAATTACATAGTCAAAATGTTGGGATAACAAACCTGTTTATTTTACAGATAAGCAAGCATGCACAGATGTAAGTAATTTTCTCAGGTGTCTGAACGAGACTAAAGTCCTCTAAAATTAGAATGGTGGATCAATTTATATATTGTACTTTGTAATTGTGTTATCTATTTATTGGGATCATGGGATGGAGGAAAGTTGTTCTGAAATTAAATTTCACAATTGATACCCAAGTCGTGACTTATCGAACCAGTATGTGTGTGCATATATGTGTCTGTGTATCTGAATGTATGTATACATATATGTATATTTGTTGTACGCTAATTTTTGGGTCCTTAATCACGATAATTTTGCAGATCAGAATTTGCACGATTTTCAGATATCTTGATATGCATGGAAATTATGTACATCACAAGTTTTGATGTACATTTATTCAAGATTTGAATTTAAAAAAGGTTTATACTTGTTCACATTCACTCATTCTTAGAGAATGAGTCAAGAAATG